GTGTGTGTGTGTGTGTATATATATATATATATATATATATATATATATATACATATCTCCTCAAGTACTATGCATAACTGGGTAAAAGTAAGCCAGTATTTGAGAAAAAAAGAACATTTTTATACCAAGGAGGGATTGATTTTCAGAAGAGTAGACCTCTCTCTCTCCTCCCTTCCTCCAAAAAAAGAAGTTGAAAATCTCTTTTTTTGAGAAGGAGTCTCACTCTGCCACCCAAGCTGGAGTGCAGTGGTGTTATCTCAGCTCACTGCAACCTCCACCTCACAGGTTCAAGTGATTCTCAAGCCTCAGCCTCCCGAGTAGCTGGGATTAGAGGTGCCCACCACCATGCCTGGCTAACTTTTGTATTTTTAGTAGAGAATGGGGTTTCACCACATTGGCCAGGCTGGTCTTGAACTCCTCACCTCTCAGGTGATCTGCCTGCCTTGGCATCCCAAAGTGCTGGGATTACAGGCGTGAGCCACTGCACTCGGCAGAGATCTTAAGTTATTGTCCTTGTAGCTCTCTTTTACCATGGTCCAGGGAACTGGCATTTCAGTTGGAGGAGCTATAAGGGTTTTCAGCTTGAAGTCTCTGATCCAGGGCCTATTTCTCTATAGCAACAAGACCTCATGTTTCTATGAAGCTCAGTGACATTCTAGAGCCCTCTGAAGCTTCATGTATCCCTCCTTCACTTCTGTAGCCACCCAGATTTCTATTTTTAACATTTATTTATTTACTTATTTATTTATGAGAAGGAATTTCGCTCTTGTCACCCAGGCTGGAGTGCAGTGGTGCAATCTCAGCTCACTGCAACCTCTGCCTCCTGGGTTCAAGCAATTCTCCTGCCTCGGCCTCCCAAGTAGCTGGGATTACAGGCACGCGCCACCATACCCAGCTAATTTTTCGCATTTTTAATAGAGATGGGGTTTCCCATGTTGGGCAGGCTGGTCTCAAACTCCTGACCTCAGGTGATCTCCCCAACTCAGCCTCCCAAAGTGCTGGGATTACAGGCGTGAGCCACCGCGCCTGGCCCGGCCCTCTTTTTTTAACCGTTATGACGATCCCAGTTTCTTTGCTCTTCTCTTTTTTTTTTCCGTCTCTTCACCTGTTTTCATTACAGTTCCTCCAACCCAGGTATTCTGGACATGTTCACTCTTGGTAATGTTAAACAAGACTAGGGAAGTCACAAAGTTAGGCACTGTGAGTTAGTGTAAATGGAGGCCTGTAGCAATCTGGCAGGGACCGGTGTCGGGGGTGCACAGCGGAAGAATGCCCCTGCCTTCTACTCACATCTCTACCAACCCTCTTCCCCTTCCCCATTTCTATCCAAGGGAAATAGCAGTTTGTTTCTTTAGAGTTCAGAAAAATGGGCCATACTTACTGAGAGATGTCATATCATGTTCTGAGGTCCTAGAGTCAGAGAGCTCTCTTTTCCCCATCTCCTCCCTGGCCCCCTCATCCACATGGGTCCATGCACAAGGCCCAGGACGTCCGGGCAGTTCTGGCCATGTTGAGCTTCCTCTAAATTCTCTTTCATGCATTCTCATTCTTTCCTCGTAGGAAGAACTGACATGCATGAGAGCCCTGAGACACATGCTCAAAGATGTTCACTGCAGTGGCATTTGCAATCCTGGAAATGCCTATCAATAGGGGAACAGTTAAACTATGAAGTATCAGTGGTGAGACAAGACGTGAAATTATTCTGTTTGGACTGCTGTGTGAAGATGCCTTTGGTATCTTTTTTGTGTGTGTGAGGCAGGGTCTCACTCTGTCACCCAGGCTAGGATACAATGGCACGATCATAGCTCACTGCAGCCTCAAACTCCCAGCACTTTGGGAGGCCGAGGCGGGTGGATCACGAGGTCAAGAGATTGAGACCATCCTGGTCAATATGGTGAAACCCCGTCTCTACTAAAAATATATATATAAAAAATTAGCTGGGCGTGGTGGCACATGCCTGTAATCCGAGCTACTCAGGAAGCTGAGGCAGGAGAATTGCCTGAGCCCAGGAGGCGGAGGTTGCGGTGAGCCGAGATCGTGCCATTGCACTCCAGCCTGAGTAACAAGAGCGAAACTCTGTCTCAAAAAAAAAAAAAAAAACAAAACTCCTGGGCCCAAGTGATCCTCCCATCTCAACCTCCAAAGTATCTGGGACTACAGGTACACACTGCCATACCCAGCTAATTTTTTTTTTAAGAGACAGGGTCTTGGCTGGTCATGGTGGCTCACACCTGTAATCCCAGTACTTTGGGAGGCCGAGGCGGGTGGATCACCTGAGGTCAGGAGTTTGAGACCAGCCTGGCCAACATGATGAAACCCTGTCTCTATTTTTTAAAATAATTGGAAAAAAAAAAAAAAAAAAAAAGAGAGAGACAGGATCTCACTATGTTGCCCCATCTGGTCTCAAGTGATACTCCTGACTCAGCCTCCCAAAGTGCTGGGACTATAGCATGAGCCACTGCCCCTGGCCTATATATGTTTTTAAATGAAAAAAAGAAAGCAAGTAACATAACTCTGTGATTCCATTTCTCTCAAAATGTTTGCTTGTGCTCTAGAAGAAGGGGTTTAGATGGAGTAGGAGCCACCAACTTTTTATTCCAGATTGTTCTGTCCAGGGTAGATTTTCTTAGATTATCATTAACATGTGCTTTTTTTTTTTTTTTAAAAAAAAGCACATTTTAATGTTTTTAAAGTAAATACATGGCTAATTTATTAAAGAAAAATAAGTTTAATGTCCACTGATACAAAATGAAAACTGAAGGCTCTTGTACCTCAAAGGTAACTACATTTGATGATTTTTCCGTTTTTTTAAGACTAAGTTGCTCTTCCCGCCCAGGCTGGAGTGCAATGGCATGATCTCGGTTCACTGCCACCTCTGCCTCCTGGTTAAAGCAATTCTCCTGCCTCAGCCTCCTAGGTAGCTGGGATTACAGGTGCCTGCCACCATGCCGGGGTATTTTTGTATTTTCAGTAGAGATGGGTTTTCACCATGTTGGCCAGGCTGGTCTCAAACTCCTGACCTCATGATCCGCCCACCTCGGCCTCCCAGATTGGGGAATTACAGGCGTGAGCCACTGCACCCAGCCAATTTTTACATTTTATAAAAGATGGGAGATCCTTTACTTTTCAAGTACTAAACGTACATAACTCTATATTCTGGTTTTTTTTGTTTGTTTGTTTGTTTTTGGTTTTTGTTTTGTTTTGTTTTGTTTGAGACGGAGTTTCACTCTTGTTACCCAGGCTAAATGGCGCGATCTCGGCTCACCACAACCTCCACCTCCTGGGTTCAAGCAATTCTCCTCCCTCAGCCTCCCAAGCAGATGGGACTACAGGCGTGCACCACCATGCCCAGCTAATTTTTGTATTTTTCGTAGAGTCGGGGTTTCACCATGTTGACCAGGATGGTCTCGATCTTGACCTCGTGATCCACCCGCCTCGGCCTCCCAAAGTGCTGGGATTACTGGCGTGAGCCACCGCGCCCAGCCACATAATTCTATATTCTAAGAGGTGATATGGGGGAGAAAATACCAGTAATGGCTTGCTTGTGAATGCACAGATATGTCTCTAGGCCAAAAGGTAAACACAAACACAACCAACGGTGCTTGTGAGTCATTCAGTGAGGCCAGTGCTGCTTAGTGGACGGTTTCGGCAGCCTGACCCTGGGTCTGACTATGATGACGCCCTTATCTTAAAGGTTAAGTGCCCTGACCCGGGGACAATGTGAGCACAGGTGGAGGTGGTGACAGGGACATACAACGTCTGCCACAGTGCTAGGACCTGCGGCGGGAAAATTCCATGTACCTTTTTTTTCTCTGAGAAGAAGACTGCATCCTCCCTTTCCCCTCCGCCTTCCTCTGTCTCTAAGTTACTGAGGCAAAGATGTTAGACCACAGCGGGCCGCTCCTGGAGAGGCCTCCCCCTCCTCCCACGTTGGTTTCTGCTCTGGTTTCACCTCACTCCCACCCCTCTCTGTGTTCAGACAGGACCCAGCTTTGCGTGGTTTCCTAAGCACGCTTCGGAGCGTGGTTTCTTAGAATTTAGACATAACTGAAAACCAAACACCTACTGGGACTTACATATCTTCTCCAAAAACAGGAAAAAATAAGATGAAGCCAAGGGTGACATTAGTTCCCAAAGGGCTGTAATAGTGTCTATAACCGCCTTTTTAAGAACTCGCAGTTATGACACAGGTGCTCACTTAAATATCCCTCCCTGTTTGGAACAGGGGTTGAGGGGGTCAGCTGGGTCTGTTTTGGGGGACACTCAATTGTACCTCTATGTCAGGGACACATGCAAGGGCCACACTGCAGCTGAGGGCCAGGGACTGAGGCCGACCCCACTGTGTGGCTGCCACCGCTGCCTGCCGCCCTCAGACAGTGTCTTGTCAGCTCAGCTGACATCTGGATGAGATGAGGCTCAGGAATAAGCCAGAGCAGCATAGTGACTGAAGGGGTGGCATGCAGTCTTGGTGTCTTGCAGGGGTAGGGGGCAGCATCTGGTACGAGCTGCTGTAAAACCCTCTCCTTGGCCGGGTGCAGTGGCGCACGCCTGTAATCCCAGCACTTTAGGAGGCCGAGGCAGGTGGATCACCTGAGGTGAGGAGTTGGAGACCAGCCTGACCAACATGAGAAACCCCGTCTCTACTAAAAATACAAAAGTTAGCTGGGTGTGGTGACACATGCCTGTAGTCCCAGCTACTCGGGAGGCTGAGGCAGGAGAATCACTTGAACCCAGGAGGCGGAGGTTACAGTGAGCTGAGATCGTGCCACTGCACTCCAGCCTGGGTGACAAGAGTGAAACTCTGTCTCAAAAAACAAACCCTCTCCTTTTGCACTTGCCACCTCCCAAGGCCCTGAGAGCTGCATTCCCACAGTCTTGCCCCCGCCCTCCCACAGGTGTCCCCTTGGGCCCCTCACCACAGCAGAGGTGCAGCTCTAGTCACTTTTGAAGTCCGGAAGTGCAGACCCCGCCCCAAGCACTCTGCCCCTCTGTCCCCCCAGGGCCTGTGCTTTAACAGCAGCGCCTTCGTCCTGTACCTCTCTGCTGCTGTAGTCGACGCGTCTTCCGTCTCCCCTGAGAGGGACAGTCACAACTTCAACAGCTGGGCGGCCTCCTCGGTGAGTAGCCCTCCATCCCCACACCATCCTCCTCTTTACTCTCCAAGGCTCACCTGGGGTTCGGGAGGACAGAGTCAGCTGCAGGAAAAAGCAGCACTTTGTCGTGACAGTTGTCGTGACATTGGCAATTGGCTTGAAAATATCTCAGACTGGCAGGGGCAGGGGCAGGGGCCCTCCTGGCCTGCCGTGGGAAAGGCTGGGAGACTGCTTGAGTCAAAGCCGAAGGACTGGAAAGTATGCAAGGGAGAAAAACTGTTTCAAGCATGCTAAGAACCATTCTACTGCCTACAGTGTATTAAGTGCGGGAAGGTTGAAGAAAATGAACAGAATATGATTCTATTTAGTTTTTTTAAAGTGACAAAATGTGTTTATGCATTGAGAATGTGCAGAAAAATATATATCAGTAAAGGGTCTGTCTAGAGACAGGGATTGGGAAATGAGGGGGGTGGGACAAGAAACTTCTACTTTTTTTTTTTTCTTTTTTAAGAAAAGGAGTCTTGCTCCATCACCTAGGCTAGAGTGCAGTGGCAACTGCAACCTGGAACTCCTGGGCTCCAGCTGTCCTCCGGCCTCAGCCTCCCGAATAGCTGGGACTAGAACCCTGTGCCACCATGCCCGCCTAATGTTTTAACTGTTGTGGGGTTTTTTTACTTTTATGTTTGTGGTTTTTGTTTTGTTTTATTGAGATGGAGTTTCACTCTTGTCACCCAGGCTGGAGTGCAATGGTGCAATCTCCGGTCACTGCAACCTCCCCCTCCTGGGTTCAAGCAATTCTCCAGCTTCAGCCTCCCAAGTAGCTGGGATTACAGGTGTCCACCACCATGCCCAGCTTTTTGTATTTTTAGTAGAGATGGGGGTTTCACCACTTTGGACAGGCTGGTCTCGAACTCCTGACTTAAAGTGATCTTCCCACCTCGGGGAAAGAGTGGGAGGCAATTAGCCAGAAACGCCAAAATGATTTTGTCAAAGCTGATTGATGGTATATGGGGGTTCATCATATTCTTTACTTTTATTTCTATTTGAAGGTCTCTATTTAAAAGTAGAATGGTCAGGCACAGTGGCATATGTCTGTAATCCCAGCACTTTGGGAGGCCAAGGTAGGCAGAGTGGGTCACCTGAGGTCAGGAGTTCGAGACTAGCCTGCCTAACACGGTGAAAGCCTATCTCTACTAAAAGTACAAAAAAATTAGCTGGGAGTGGTGGTGGGCACTGTAATCCCAGCTACTCAGGGGGCTGAGGCAGGAGAATTGCTTGAACCCGGGAGGCAGAGGTTGCAGTGAGCTGAGATTGCACCATTGCACTCCAGCCTGAGCCTGGGCAACAAGCGCGAAATTCCATCTCAAAAAAAAAAAAAAAAAAAGTAGAGCACATGGATGACCATGACATTAAAAATAACAAGTTTTGTCAAGACTGGGCCCAAGTTAACACATAGCAAGAATGGACTAGAACTGGATGGAGGCTGTGCCATTAATTAAGAAGGGCCTGCCTTTTCCTGCTCCCTGTTCACACCACACACACCATGTGGGCTCATTGCTTACTCCTGCCCACTGGACTCATTTATGTGAACTGCCACTGTAGCAATCCGAGGTGGAGCCCTGACCTAGATTGCCTGTGCTGAATTAGAAATGATACACTTTTCTCAGATGCACTGCCGCTATATTCACTCCTACATGAACTCCCTGAGGTGATCTGAGCAAAACGACAGGCTTTCAGATGTTCCCCAAAATCAAAACAGCATAGCCAGAAATCATTTGAGAAGGATAGTAATTGAGCCAATAAAGTAGTTTTAGATGGCAAAGCCTGGTGTCAAGAGGAGGAGGGGAGCTCATGATTCAGTGGAGATGAAATGATAACTTTTGCTAATTGGGTACCCTAAACCCCCCTTCCATTATGTTTTGTGTTTTCTCCAGTTCTTTGCCTTCCTGGTCACCATCTGCTACGCTGGAAATACATATTTCAGTTTTATAGCATGGAGATCCAGGACCGTGCAGTGATTTATCATTTTGATAATTAAACAGGAAAAAAAAGGAAGAATCCCACTGTAAAAACAGCTGAAGGTATAATGTATATTCCCAGAGAATTGTATTTAACTAATGTTTTTTATATACTTAAATTTGCTTACAAATTATGGTTTGTTACAATCAAACTGGATACTTATTTGCAAAGTGTTGTAGCTTATACTGAACTCAAGTATCTTATTAATGTTTTCATAGATCCTATTTTCTTAGACAATGTTTAAATAGATAAATTGCTAATATTGAGAATGTATCAAGTTTGTAAACCTAACTTTTAAGATGCCAGATTCTTTTTGGATTAAATATTGCAAAATCCCAACTAATGTTGTGCTTGATTGGAGAAAGGAGAGCCACTGGTGAAGCTGGAGGCTAGGCCGTCGAGGCTGGGGAGTCTGCCTCTTCACAGGACTGCACAGGTATGATACTGTCAGGAGACACTTACCCATAGTCCCAGGACAAAGAGGCAGGTGAGTCTCTCCCCAAGTCTGGGATCATCGATCAGTGTCCATGATTTTCATATGCTGACAGGTTGGCCCAGAAAGCGTCTATTCAGACCTGGCCTTGGGCATCACTGATAGCTCATGGGAAGTTATGCTACTAAGTACGGTGACTGATGTGCTTGTGATATTTTTTTTAATATGCATTAGAAAAAAATATATAACCATTAAAAAGATATCTGATATTAAAATTATCTTGCTGGCCAGGTGCAGTGGCTCATGCCTGTAATCCCAGCACTTTGGGAGGCCAAGGCGGGTAGATCACAAGGTCAGGAGATCAAGATCATCCTGGCCAGCATGGTGAAACACCATCTCTACTAAAACTACAAAAATTAGCTGGGTATGGTGGCATGCACCTGTAGTCCCAGCTACTTGGGAGGCTGAGGCAGGAGAACTGCCTGAACCCGGGAGGCAGAGGTTGCAGTGAGCCGAGATCGCACCACTGCACTCCAGCCTGGCAAAAGAGCAAGACTGTCTCAAAAAAAAAAAAAAAAAAAAAATTATCTTTCTGACCACAGTAACATGTGTACCATCTTTTTTGAAAACTACTGAGCCAGGCCAGGTGCGGTGGCTCATGCCTGTAATCTCAGCACTTTAGGGGTCTGAGGTAGGCAGATCACTTGAGGTCAGGAGTTCGAAACCAGCTTGGACAATATGGCAAAACCCCCATCTCTACCAAAAATACAAAAAATCAGCTGGGCATGGTGGTGCGCCCCTATGGAAGGCTAAAGGAGGAGGATTCCTTGAACCTGGGAGGTGGAGGTTGCAGTGAGCTGTGATCATGCCACTGCACTCCAGCCTGAGCAACAGAGTGAGACCCTGTCTCAAAAAAAAGAAAAGAAAAGAATAATAAAACACTGCTGGACCAAAGGGTTTCAATATTCCAAATCTCTAGTGCAAATACAACATCGTTATTAGAAATTATCATGTAAAGAAAGAACTCACGTCAGCAAGGCAGTGTGCACCTAGAGGAACTGTTTCTAGGTAAAACGGTTCTTGCTAGTACAGCAGTGTATCCTGGATGATTTTTCAATATGAGCTTCTTTTGAAAAACAAAAAAACACAGAAACGTTAGTGTAGCTAATGACAGTGAACAAAGCTGAAGCTGTGCGCTCGGTTCAGGAGTCCTGTGGCCTCTGCCTCTTGGTCTCTCGCCTGTTTAGCAGTGCTGTTTTTTTCTGTTTGTGCTGGTTCTCTTTTTCTGATTCTAATTCCATATCTAAGCTCTGATGATCCCTACATAGGAGAGCTGTGATTCTTCAGTGTCTAGTCATACCCACCCCAGACCTTTGAAACTACCCATGAGGAATGTTCTGGGGTTGTAGACTAGGCCCAAAGAGGTAGTGGGAAGGGGAGAGGCTGTGTGTGACTGGGCAGTGCTGGGGGCACACGAGGCCACTCTGTGCCCAAAATGTAGCAAGCCATGGAAGGTTGAGCTTCCACAGCACAGACCTGTAGGCAGTTGGTGCTGTGATCTTTTGGAAGCTGATTCCCAGTCATCACAGGTTTTGCACAAAAGCTGGAATAACTACAGTTGGCGTGCTCTCCCTCTCAGGCTCACAAAAGCATGTGCACCTTCCACATACCCTGTGGGTTTAAGTACTTTATATTGCAAACAACACTCCATAAAAGGCAGAAAAACAGTCACCTGCAGAGGCCTCCTTCTGGAAACAGGAAGAAGCCTGCTTTTATGCCGCATGCAAGCATGTGTGTGTCATTTCTATAATCATGGCCACATTTATAGAAAGTAACTTCTGGGGTGAAAAGTGCCATAAACCACATTTCTGAATGTTCTTAAAGTACACTGTAATTTTAGTTCTTTCTTGAACTGGTAGCACCAAAGGCATCTGTTTCAAGAGAACCATGCCTAGTTTGTGTCCATGTGGGGGCCCTTGCTGTCTTGTCTTTATTTGTGTTTTCTCAGGAGCATGATCCTTTGTGTTACCCTGAGTATTCACTAAAACAACAACAACAAAAAGCATTTATTTTTAGCTGAAAAGAAATTATTTTATTTTTTGAATACTGAGATGTTGTTCATGAATAAGCTTTAAGTGTAGGTTTTTAGACAACAAAATGATTCTCTGTTGTCCAGATTGGAGCTGTAAGTTGTGAGCTGGGTTTGCTTTATTTTTTTCTCTTAATAAATAAGAGAAAAACAAAGCCTTACACAATACAGCCAACATAAGAACAGGTTTCTGGGGGGTTGAAAATATTACAGGGATAGTGTGCAAGGTACTTAAACTCAAATCTGCCATCTGCGCTTACCATCTGCACTTACCTCTCCCATTCCAACACCTCCATGCCCTCTCTGGTGGAGCAGAGTAGGCTTTTTGTTTTTTTTGAGATGGAGTTTCGCTCTTGTTACCCAGGCTGGAGTGTAATGGCGCGATCTCGGCTCAGCGCAACCTCCGCCTCCTGGGTTCAGGCAATTCTCCTACCTCAGCCTCCTGAGTAGCTGGGATTACAGGCACGCGCCACCATGCCCAGCTAATTTTTTGTATTTTTAGTAGAGACGGGGTTTCACCATGTTGACCAGGATGGTCTCAATCTCTTGACCTCATGATCCACCCGCCTTGGCCTCCCAAAGTGCTGGGATTACAGGCTTAAGCCACCGTGCCTGGCCAAAAATCGGTTTTATTGAAATTTAATTGAAAAGTTTTCACCGAAAAAGAATCTGGACACACGATACATGCAAGCACACGCACACACGCACACACACGCGCGCGCACACACACGCACTCTGAAAGGTGGCAGCCTGAGCATTTGTTAACTTGGCTGCACATTAATGTTCTGCTCACAACATCTGCTGCCAAATGTGAATTGTAAGCAGAAAACTGTGAAGGAAGGTAAGATAACTTCCATTCTTTGGGAGGCTGAGGCGGGTGGATCATGAGGTCAAGAGATCGAGACCATCCTGGTCAACATGGTGAAACCCTGTCTCTACTAAAAATACAAAACATTAGCTGGGCATGGTGGCACGTGCCTGTAATTCCAGCTACTCAAGAGGTTGAGGCAGGAGAATTGCTTGAACCCAGGAGGCGGAGGTTGCAGTGAGCTGAGATCATGCCATTGCACTCCAGCCTGGGTAACAAGAGTGAAACTCTGTCTCAAAAAAAAAGATAACTTCCATTGCCGATGATGACCTAGAATAATAGGGAAGATTATAATGTATGTTGTAAGTTGGGGGATATATAAATGGGTTTTTGGTATATATAAAAGAAGATAGGGCTGGGTGCGGTGGCTCACTCCTGTAATCCCAGCACTTTGGGAGGCCAAGGCAGGCAGATCACGAGGTCAAGGGATCGAGACCATCCTGGCCAACATCGTGAAACCACGTCTCTTTTTAAAATTAAAAAATAAAAATAAAAAAAAAGAAGAAGATAGGTTGGGGAAAAGTGCTTGGCATCACAGAGAGATGATTTTTCAGAAACTTAGCCAGGTAATTGGGAAGAAAGGCATTGATTAAAGAGATATACTCCATTGGGAAGATACGCTTTGAGAAGACTTTCCTATCTATAGCAGAATTGTTTTTGCTAACTATTTCAGAATAGCTAAATGAATCCAGGACATAGCAAACCTTCTATTTTCTGTAGCGACAGGGTTTCATCCTGTTGTCCAGGGTGGTCTCAACCTTTCAGGCTTAAGCAATCCACCTGCCTCCGCCTCCTGAAGTGCTGGGACTACAGGTGTGAGCCACGGTGCCTGGCCTGCAGCTCTTTTGATGGAACAGTCCTCTCCTCGGGTAAGAAAATATATATGACTTTTCAGAAACTTAGGAAGGTAGGTGGGAAGAAAGGTGTTGACTAAAGAGATACTCCATTTGGAAGATATGTTTTGAGAAGACTTTCCTATCTATGGCAGAATTGTTTTTGCAACTATTCCAAATAGCTAAACGAATCCAGGGCAGAGAGAACCTTGTGGCTGCCTCCCCAACAGCTTTTTTTCCTCATGTTCTCAAACCCCGCAAAACACACCCTCTAACAAAAATCATTAACAGCTCGTTTATTGATCTTCCTACACCACCCAACATTTCTTTCTGATGGAACTTCAGCTCACTCCTAGGAGCCTGCCTAATCATTCAAATTACCACGGGCCTATTCTTAGCCATACACTACACTCCAGACACCCTGACCGCCTTCTCCTCAGTAACCCACATCACTCGAGACGTAAACTACAGATGAATAATCCGCTACCTGCATGCCAACGGGCCTCCATATTCTTCGTATGTCTCTTTCTTCATATCAGCCGAGGCCTCTACTACGGATCCTTCCTTTCTCGAGAAACTTGAAATATCGGTACAATTCTACTCCTTACAACCATAGCTACAGCATTTATAGGCTATGTCCTCCCATGAGGCCAAATACCATTTTCAGGGGCCACAGTAATCACAAACCTCCTGTCAGCCATTCCATATATTGGATCCAACCTCGTACAATGAGTCTAAGGCGGCTTCTTAGTAGATAAAGCCACCCTTACATGATTTTTTACCTTACACTTTATTTTACCCTTCATTATCGCAACCCTAGCAACTATCCACCTATTGTTTCTGCACAAAACAGGTTCAAGTAATCCATCAGGAGTAACATCCAACCCTGACAAAACCATATTCCACCCCTACTATACAATCAAAGATATTCTAGGGTTAATTCTTCTTCTTCTATCCCTAATAAGCCTAACACTATTTATACCAGACCTTTGAACCGACCCAGACAACTACACACTAGCGAATCCCCTCAGCACCCCTCCCCACATTAAGCCAGAATGATATTTTCTATTCGCATATGCAATCCTGCGGTCTATTCCTAATAAACTTGGATGCGTA